TATATATATCAAGGAAGTACAGGACAACACCATTCACTTCAGGACAGAGCTGTGAAAGAGAGAGACAGGAAGAGACAAGGTAATTGATATCTCAATTATGGAAAATCCTCCCACTAGGCTTCTAAAGTTTCCACCACATCCCAAGAGTGCCTCAAACCTTTAACACATAAGCCTTTTGGGGACAATTATCCAAACTATAACAAAAAGGAATGCATGTCCATGACTCTCAAGTTCATACTAACATTGTCCAAACACACTTGCTCCTTTAATTGACAGAGCAAATCAATCCAGGATATGATCCTTATAGTTTGAGCCTTCATAATTTGCAGTATAATTTTTCTACATTGAAGTGAAAGATGTTTGAATTTCTAAATGGTTTTGTTTCAGTAATCATCTTTGAGCACAGTTCAATTCATGTTTCCCAATGATCCAATTTATTTCATTGAAAAATATATTCCTGTTGTATTTCAATCATATTCTTACAACTGCTAGGTTCTTGGATGAAGTGCAGTCCTATTCAGGAGTTAACAAAATGAGTGTGCAGAACTTGGCAACTGTCTTTGGTCCTAATATCCTGCGCCCCAAGGTGGAAGATCCTTTGACCATCATGGAGGGTAAGCAAATGATTATCTTATAGCCTTTTGGTGGTTGGCTAGAGTCTATTCTTGTCTGAGCAAACTAAGGATATATATGAATCCATGACAACTCTATTTATTGACTCTATTCATTACTTAAATATGAAAATCTTCTTTGGGAATTGACTTTTTTTCAAGTTACCAAGCAGAAAAATTATAAAATGATTCCTCAGTATTCTTATAAGAACCAGTGGAACTTCCATGAAACAATAAATCCTCTGAAAAGTATTAGATGAAAGAACTGATAACCTTTAGTTCACTTTGTAAGTCCAGAGAAATTTACAGAAAATTCAAAAGGTTATTTTTAGCTGATATGTATTTATTAGTTTGGGCTTTTGGGGGACAGATTTCAAGAAGTGAAGAAACTTGATCTTTTATAAGACAATGCCATTTATTTAATTGTGAGTTGAAACTTGAAGGAAAATATGTTATCCAAATTCCGAAATGCCTCAAATTATCTCCCACAATGAACTGTTATTTCTATTTCTTTTCATTAGTCTTCACTTCTTTGGTTCATTTTTGACTTGTGGCCATTACTAACATCGTTGTTTCCTGCAAATTGGAGTAATTGAGCATTTAAGAATTCAATAGGGAAGATGGAAGGATAAAGAAAAATTGTTTTTAATTTTATTCTGAGTTTATTTAGACTAGAAAAAAATATTGCCCTTGGTGGTGTGAATTCTATTCTCTGATATTTCTCCTTTCTTGAAAATTCTAAGTTTCATTCCTTTATATCTTGTATTTGAGAAAGAAAGCTTTTGAATATCTGCCTATATTTCCACAGCTTAATCCCCTTTGTGTAATACTGAGGGCAATATAAGTTGAACATCAGATATTTGGCAATAGTTGTCCAGAAAACTTAATTTGCATCTAAAAAGTTGGGCAGATATTATAAAATGTTAGATTTGCAAGTACAGGAAGCATAAAGTTACTTTAGTTTGTAGTTTTTAAAAAACCTTATTATAAATTAAAATATAGACTATAGAGAAAACCAACACACACACACACACACACACACACACACACACACACACACACCATAATGAGTTATATAAGACAAGCACTTCAGACATTACCACATAAGTTAAGAAGAATGCTTCCAGGCATCCCCAAAAGCCCTCCTTGTGCCCTGACCAATCATAATTTCTACTATCTAAACATGAAAGCATTTACACAAATTATTCCCCCTATTTTTGCTGTTTCACTACCTATAGAGACTTCCACATACATTATAGTAATGTTTCTTCTTCCCTTACTAGATACCACCCTTACTTAATACATTTAAGAATCTTTGGGTTTTAAATATGTGAATTTGTCACCTGGCACTGTGAATTGGGAGGTTCAGGCAAAAGGATTGCAATTTCAAGGTTGGCATCAGCAACTTAAGGAGATCCTGTCTTAAAAATAAAATAAAAAAATACACACACACACACACACACACACACACACATAGGCATATACACTTACCAATAATGTATCAAAAATTCACATTATGCTTCCAATTCAAAATCATGAATTTTTGTTCATTTTATTCTCTGTTAGTTTTATCACCTTTCTTCCAAAGATTCCTGGTTCTCAAAGATATGAAGATGAAAGAATTAGAATTTGTAGTAGTTAATCATTTTCCCTGAGCCTCATCACACACACAATAGTTTTAAAATAATAATAATAATAGCAATGTTATCAACATCAATATGATTAACTATAAACATTCAAAACCTTTTTTGCATATGTTTTTCTGATCCTCTTTTTATTCTTTTAATGTGTATCGTATCTTCATTGTCAGAGTGTATATCCCTTGTACACTATATTCTCTCCCTCTAGTCTTCAATTAGTTTTATATATAAACTATATAATGTTTATATACATACATACATATACATGCATTTATGTATATGTATACATTATAATTTAGTCATATATATTGTGTGTATTTTAAATGCTCACCAGCAGCCCTCATAATGATGTTTTTCTACTTAGCAGTTCTCACAATGTGGTCCACAGAACCCTGGGGGCCTCTAGGATACATTCAGAAGGTCCATAGATTCAAGCTTTTTTTTATAATAATACTAAGATGGTGTTTCCCTCTCACTGTGTTGACATTTACACTGAAGGTATCAAAATAATGATGGGTAAAGAAACTAGCACCTTACTATGAATCAAGGCAGTGCTTCACTAGCATCATATTCTTCACCACAAAGCACTTCAGAGAGAAGAAAATGCCGGTTTTACTTTTGATGAACAGCAAAAATAATTAATTGCATTCCATTTTGCCCCTGAGAACACATGTTGTTAATTATAGGGTAAAATACCAAGCTCTATGTATAAAATATTTGTGCATACCATCTTTAAAGCCATGCAGCGATTGGCTCAAGGACAGTGTTTGTCTGATTATCAGAGTTTCAAGCCTTTCTAGTTGCTTTTTCAGAAAACTCTGGTTTGACTTGAAAAGCCGAGAAACACATTATGGTTATTCAGACTTGAGCATTTTGCAGACATGTTTTCACAAAGGACTTAAGTTAAGCTCTCACAGAATTACAACTGGCAGAATTTGGTCATTGACCTTTCTTATAAAAACTTTTGACTAACACCTTAAGCTTAACAGGTTCCTAAGGATTAGCCACTTCTGAGGTGAGATCCATCTTGAATCAGCCCTCTGCATTGTCCAGGAAATGTCCTGGGGCACTTGGGGGTTTTCTGCTTTTGGGTCTATCAGCATCTCCTTTACTTCCTTCTCCTTCCTCTACACATATACTGACTCTGTGGAGGCAGTGGGGCCTTATCTTCACCAGTGTGCATTAGGGGTTTGGGGGATTCTTTGTCATCTAGTTCTACTGTAAATGTTGCCCGTGAGTTTGGGGTCTTACTTTTAGGTGGCTCATTTTAATGGGAGAATTTCAGGAAATTCAATACCATCTTCCTAGTGTTTTTATTGTGGTTCTTTAACTTTATGGCAACTCTTGTTGCTGTTTTAGAAGAAATCCTTTAAACATTATGTAGTGTCCCACTGTTACCTTTTGCCAATAAGAAACTTGATACCCAGAGAAAAATAATTTCCTCTAAATACACTGATAATATGAAAGAAATAGGAGCACAAGTAGACAAAAAGGTTTTTAAGAATATGGAAAATGAAGCAGTAAAATAATCCCATCTGTTGTCATAATTTGGGGGGTTCACACAAGCTGTCAGTTCCATGGGAGTTCAGTCCTTTCCCCCTGGGAGTGATCACGCCCCTGGGAGTTTCACAGCAACCAAACCTGGAGACTTCTCAGATCACAGAACTTACTCAGTTACTTCCTCTTCCTGCCTCAGTGTGAGCCAGCATTTCAAGAAACAATATTCTTGCTTCCAAACATAATTGAAAACAAGTTGGATGTTTATTGTGGTCTCCAGAGAAAACCAAATCTGACTGCATTCTCAGTATACAGAAAGTTGGTTGAAAATATTCTATAATACTTGATGGTTAATGTTATCCAGCTGTATTGGACAGCCATAAATATCTCCCATGGGAATGCTTAAAGGAGCAGATTTGTTCATTGAGTTGACTGTTAGGATGTTGGTTTGTCTGGTTGGTTTAAGATGCAGGATGGCTAGTCAGTTACATTTTCAGATGATCTATTCTAATTTTTTAGTCCACATATCTGAATTTTTGACAGAAAATATAATTGCTATTTTTCTCCTGATTAAGTTTGAAAAGAATTATAAAATTATTTTGAGCCAGTTACCATTTTACCAGTCACTAAAGACATCATTTCCTTGTGTTATTCAAGTTTTAGTATAAGGGATTATATTGTGTTGATTTTATTTGTGCTTTGAGGCTCTATTTAATTTTTCTAATAAAGCATTATTAATTCTCTAATTTCAATAGAATAGTCATATCTAATAGCAGAATTTACTCCACATAATAATCTTTAAAAATCTCTTAATTCATTTATTTATTCAATAAATGTTCATTAAGCAACTACTTTATGCCATGTTCTTCAGTAAGCCTGCAAAGATGAGAAAGAAAAAGTTTGGTCTTCAAAATAGGTATAGTTGGAGTATTTAACATATAATCATTTAATTATAATATAGTATGAAAATATTATATGCATGATATGTTGAAGGGTTATGATAGCAACAATTAGGGAATGGTTATCTTTCTCTTTGAGGTCAAGTCATTTCCCCAGGGAAAGAAACAAAGCTATATGTAAGGAGACGTATGCCTTAGTCTGTTTTGGTTGCTGTAACACAATACCATGGACTGAGTAGCTTATAAACAATAGAAATTTATTTCTCACACTTTGGGAAGCTGGGAAGTCTGAGATCAAGCAACAGTTAAATTTAGTGTCTGGTGAGGCCCCTTTTCCTGTTTAACTGACAGCTATCTTCTCACTGAGTCCTCAAAGGAAGAGAAGGTGAGAGAACTCTCTGAAATCCCCTTTTAAGGGCACTAATATAATCCATGAGGGCTCTACCCTCATGACCTGATCATCTCTCTAGTTTCTACTACCATGACATTGAGGGTTAAGATTTTAGCACAGAATTTGAAGAGGACACTAACATGCTGTTTTTAACAGAAAAATCACAGTGTGTCTGAGTAAAAAAATTATTAAGGATTGTTATCAGAGCATATAGGAAGATTGGTGAATGAAAGTCTGGGAAGACCTCACAACATTCTCAAGATCCTATTAACCATTCTGCACTCAGGAATATTTAATACTTATCAAACAAGAGGGTACTGAGAGGTTTATTGTTCCATGAAGTAATTCTGGAAATTCTGGGGATTAGTTATGGGAAGATAGGTAGAATTCGGACTAAATGTAGACCCTGATTCCCACTGGCTGAGTTCCAAGGTTGATTTTGTGTTTGTGCTTGCACTTCCTAGTCATTTCCTACATCCACATTTGATGTAGGGAACATTACAATCCAAGAAAATATACCCTGAGGCTGGTATTACTCCTGAGACATAACAAGTGTATGCAACAGTAGATGTAAGA